GATGATCGCAGTCAGCTGGATGGGCTCCACACTTCCCGTGCCATTTTATATGTTTTAAATTGCACTTCAGAGAGCGTTCACCAGTTAACTGAAACTTATTGTGTTCTAAAATTTAATCCAGGTGGTGTCTTTGGACTAAGGCCACTCTGGAGTGGTAACATTAGCACAACTGATGGTTGATTTTTTTCCCCTGTTGACATGTATCTCCTTTCTTTTGATGTGAATACATCAATAGAATAAGGGGTTTCTAATATTACTGTCTTACATAGTTCACAGATTATTGAAGCTTTTTGCGGCTATGGAAATCTGACCAGAGACTATTCGGTCTTATCTCTGAATTGAAGATAAGAAGTGTAAATGTTCAGATATGTATGTTACCCCTTTTGTAAACTAATATAGGACCGTTTAGACTACTACTTTAGATCACTAAAGTTGTGATCTAAACGGTCTTATATTAGTTTACAAAGGGATTACCTCCTAACCACTCTTTACAGATTTATTATCTATGAAATGCATCCAAGCAAGTCCTATCTTATCTGCAATTACCCCCTTAGATATCTGGAGTTTAGAGCTCACTATCCTTCCAGGTTCTCTACTGGTTGTATTTCCTTGACAACTTCGAGGGAGGAATAAGTACTGTTTGTCATTCTTTGACATGTATAATACCATATTAGAGATGTGAATTGTTGGAGTTCATTTAGTGGAGTATTAGTAGATAAATGATTTCTTTTCTTCGCATTCAACTGGTGTATATGTGTTTAGTCCATTCCCAAAATGATTTGTAAAGTTGCCTTAACAACTAAACAGCCTTCATGTGTATTGGTACTCTGTTTTTTGGGCAGCTGGAAGAAATCAGTTTATCAATTAACAAATATGGAACAGAGGGAGTAGTTAGTTAGGCATCACAGTGAAGCTTGGCGAAGGGGCATTTTTTTAGGCCTACAAGGCTGGATGCACTGTATCAAAGTGGTACCATCCGATGGGCATTCATTTGTCAACTACCACTTTTTTTAGCTGTATCGCGTGCCAAAAAATTGAATTGACAATGTCTGAACAAATATGAAGTATAAAGTTATATCATTGAAGAGAATTGTTTTATTTTCAAAACTAATGAAGTTGGATCTGCTTAAAGCACATATTCACGAGTTAACTTCACTTTTTAGGGTAATTGTAATTTAAATATCCACAAGAGGACAAAAACACTACTCTTCTGGAGATCATCTAAATAAGATGGAAGGGCTCCACACTTCCCGTGCCATTTTATGTATTTTAGAATTTACTTCAGAGAGACTTCATCAGTTTGTGCTCTAAATTTTACTTTAGAGAGTGTCTTTGGACTGAGGCCACTTTAGCACAATTGATGGCTGCTTTTCCTCCCCTGTGGACATGTACCTCCTTTATCTAGATGTGAATATATCAATAAAACAAGGAATTTTTAATATTACTGTCTGACGGAGTTCACAGATTATTTAAGATTTTTGCAGCTATGGAGATCTGACCAAACAGTCTTCTATCCTACCTCTGAATTGAAGATGTATTGGGTCTGTATATGAAGTGTAAATATTCAGATATGTATGTTACCTCCTAACTTCTCTTTACAGATTTATTATCTATGAAATGCATGCAAGCAAGTTCTATCTTATAGACAATTACTCTCTTATAGATAAATCCGTTGATTCATGAATTAAATGGCCAGAGATCGGTGCAGTCAAGTGGATTGATACCTGGACTTTAGAGCTCAAAATCCTTCTAACTTCTCTACTGGCTGTATTTTGTTGACAGCTTTGAGAGAAGAACAAGTACTGTTAGTCATTCCATGACATGTATAATTTAAATACTAGAGAAGTGAATTGATAGTTCATTTAGTAGAGTATTAGTAGATGATGGTGTATATCCTGATATGTTTAGTCCGTTCCCAAAATAATTTGTGAAGTAGCCTTAATAATTATAAACCTTCTCTGTATATTAGTACTCAGTTTTTTGGGGAGCTGGAAGAAGCCAGCTTACCATAACATGTGAAAATGAATTTATTTACCTGCAGTGTTGCTTTTATTAGTTGACAAAGTTGTTTGTTAAATACTCCCTCCGTCCAGAAATACTTGTCATCAAAATGGAGAAAAAGGGATGTATCTAGATGTATTTTAGTTCTAGATACATCTCTTTTTATCCATTTTGATGACAAGTATTTTTTGACGGAGGGAGTAGTTAGTTAGGCATTACAATGAAGCTTGGCCAAGGGACTTCTGTTGAGGCCTACAAAGCTCGAAGAACTGTAAGTAAAGTGGTGCCTTTTGATGTATATTCATTTGTCGACTAATACCTGGCCATACTAGAGAAGTGCGCACACACCCCCTAACAGATTCTAAATGTTTACTTGGACGACCTTTAAATACCTGGATGATATTCCACATAAACAAAGCCATATCGTCATTTTAATACAATAAGCAAGCAGGGTCCCATAAAACAAATAGCTACTTTTTTTTTGATGTGTAGCAAATTCATTACTTATGGGGGCATCAAGAAGAGCTCTCTGCACAAAGGATTCATTACCTGAGCGAGGCATACAATCCAAGAGCCCTTTCAACGTTTCACCTTAGATGATATCATATAACCATAAGTTTTATTTCTCAAAATATAGGAGGTGTACCACCCTGCACAAAGGAAACAAGAGTTTTACAAGTGTCCAGTAGCCAGGGTTGCATAACTGTGAGAAATTGATGATAAAACACAATGTGATAATTCAACAGGTAAAACCGAATTTAAGGTAAGCTAACTAAATTGAGCATTTGTTTCCCCATTGGACATGTCAGAATTCACAAACATCCAAAAGAAAAAGATAATGTATCGACCAAACTACCAAAATTAGAAATTCTCTGTCATGTACAACAAATGCACCAACCCATCAACCTAGACAGCAATACTAATAAAAGTTACATTTTTCAAGTAGCCAGGCTGCCTCGAATTACAAGAATTTGATCACTATTCTTACTAAGAAACAAGTAAAGTACTGAAGTAGTACATGTTAGCATCAATCTTATTACTATCCAGAGAAGCTCAATTCAGGCAAAACAAGCCAAGGAAGCACACGACAACCAGAAACAGTGAGTGAAGAAAAGGAACCGAACCTGAGACACCCGAGGAGGAATTCGCCATCTCTGCCACCCGGCCCAAACGATACCCCAGCAGAATTGAGGAGCACGAGGACGATATGCTCACCCCACGAGCAGCTCCATGGATCTTGGCCCTCTCCGTGGCCAGGGCGACAGACAGCGATGGCGAGCACGAGTCCATGGAGGGGATCAAGCAGCGCTTCGCGGCGGTGCATGTGTGGCTCGCAGGTCGACTGTGGGCGGTGCGTGTCGGAAGAACTCACGTGTGGTTGCGGCAGTGCACAGCCAGGCGAAGCTCGCGGCGCGACGGCGGCCGGTGCGTGCGTGCGCGTAGTTGCCGTGAGTGGCTACCTGCGGTGTGGCCGCCGCACGACATACGACAGCGCTCGGCCCCTTCGCTGCTCCCGCCACCTCTGTAGCTCATGGTGGCGAGCCGGCGACGTCTCTGCGGCGAGCCAATGCTATCTAAATGGTGTGCGGCACAGGAGCAGAGAGAGCATGTCGGGATAACCTTATCTCTTTGGTTATTTTACATTTTAGCACTTATGACTTCCCTTATTCGTAACTAAGTTCTATAGCTTGCATGTTAGTACTTTTCAACACTTCTAAGAGGGCAATGAGGGAATTATGCTTGAATGAAATTTTTTATTTCTACTTTAACTCGCAATCGATTGGTCTGAATCAAATGCATATCATATTGATGCCACCTTTATTTGTCAAAATCATTGTTGGATGCACTGTCGCTAAGCACCTATAGATCACATGAAACAATTTGCAAATGCTTTGCATCATTTCATTGGAGGTACACATCCGGCCGGAAGGCTCCACAAGAATGATATAAGCTACAAATGAGTGCAATGTGTCCGGTCTTGCTTGGAAAAAAGGACAATGTATAATTTCCATCTTGCAAAATGAAGCACCCATGCTGATAATAAATGTATACTTTGCAAATTCTTCATATGCATGTCTTGCTTTTTTTTTAACTACAAACACATGCTCATAGAAGTTTGACTACAAACACATACACATATAATGTATCTACGGGGCGCGGCGTGCCCCCGCGCGGGCATGGCTAGTTTAGGCCATTTAGGACGTCCTTGAGGCTAGGTGTTCTTTCGTCTCACTCAAAGCTAGACAAAGACGCGCCGATGCGTTGAGCTTCACAATGTTTTTCTTTCTTGGTTAAATCGCGAGATTTCCGAGCGAGCGTAGGGCGCAATTTTTTACCCGCTGTCGCCGCTGCTACTTCTGGAAGAAGAAGCGTCCGATCTCATCGAATGGAGCGACGCCGCGTTTGTTTATTCGTGTGGCTCGTGTGGTTTCCTTTTGCGGCGAGACAAGCGTCACGCACGCACAAACAAATCACACCGAGATCGAGGGCAACACGTCGACGGATCAGAGATATCGATGCCGATGCACATGGCGGCGACCATGGCGTCCATGCATGCACCACCGCACCGCCACCAAGAGAGCCGCATCCAACTTGTGCTCGATCGCTCGCCAGCGTGCGTGCACCCTGCTGCCGGGCAGGCAGATGACTCGTTGCCGTCACACGCGCCACCCCTTTACACTTGTTTATTGCAGCTTCTTCACCCGCTTTTGGCCTCTTCTTCCTCCGGCATGGGCTCGGTCGAATCGGTTCCATCTACATGGCAGAGCTTCGCGAAGGTACGGCCGGGGGCGCGGCGACGCGTGTCCTCCCTACGTGGCGGCCATACGAGCACCGCCGCGCAACGTGTCTCATAGGTTCTGCCTATAAAGGCCACCTGCTCCAAGCTCCTTACCATATCACAAGAAGCCGATCCACTCCAAGCACAGTCGAGCAGAAGCCTAAAGCGAGTGAGATTTCCCCCTTCCCGTTGATTCCAGGTCGTGTTCCAAGAAACCAAAATGGCCTCCAACCAGAACCAGGCCAGCTACCACGCCGGCGAGACCAAGGCCCGCAACGAGGTAACCCTAGTCTCCCTCCTTGGTGTGTAGTGTGCACTCTGCCGCGCGCATGCGCCGTTGCTCCGGCGGTGATCTGAGATGTTCTGTCTGTTGGATGAATTGCAGGAGAAGACCGGGCAGGTGATGGGCGCGACCAAGGACAAGGCGGGGCAGACCACGGAGGCCACGAAGCAGAAGGCCGGCGAGACCACGGAGGCCACGAAGCAGAAGGCCGCCGAGACCACGGAGGCGGCCAAGCAGAAGGCCAGCGAGACGGCCGAGGCCACCAAGCAGAAGGCCGCCGAGGCCAAGGACAAGACGGCGCAGACGGCGCAGGCGGCCAAGGAGAAGACGTACGAGACGGCGCAGTCGGCCAAGGAGCGCGCCGCCCAGGGCAAGGACCAGACCGCCAGCACCCTCGGCGAGAAGACGGAGGCGGCCAAGCAGAAGGCCGCCGAGACCACGGAGGCGGCCAGGCAGAAGGCCGCCGAGGCGACCGAGGCGGCCAAGCAGAAGGCGTCGGAGACGGCGCAGTACACCAAGGAGTCCGCCGTCGCCGGCAAGGACAAGACCGGCAGCGTCCTCCAGCAGGCAGGGGAGACGGTGGTGAACGCCGTGGTGGGCGCCAAGGACGCCGTGGCCAACACGCTGGGCATGGGCGGGGACAACACCAACACCACCAAGGACAACACCACCGGCGCCACCACCAAGGACACCACCACCACCACCAGGAATCACTAGACGCATGTGTTGGCGCTTAATTTGCTTTGCTTTAGTAGTGTTTGGTCGTTCGCGGGCCTTCTACATATTTGTATGTTTCCACTCTTTCGTGATTTCAGCTCATTTGGTGTAAAAGTTTGCCTTCGATTTGATGTACTCCTCGTGTCCGGTTCTGTATTAGTACGAGTTATGGTCCATATACTTTGGTGTAAATGGATATCGAGGACACTCGAAGGCGGCAATAAAGTGTAATTTCTTTATTCCGATGGTATACATTCCTTCCCCTCATTTCTATAAACGCACATCCTACCCTAGGACCCTTCAAAAAGATTAAGCCGGCAAAAGTTACCATAGACGTAGTCGACCGTCTACACAAGCACCTCGTTGGGCTCGTTACCATACACACTTTGTAGTCGACGGGACATCTCCTCTTAAGATTTTATGAAGAGATTTTGGTCGATGGGACGTCTCCTCTTAAGATTTTATAAAGAGATTTTCACTGAACATAAGCATCCAACATCTTCTCACTTACCTGGTTGGGTTGGGCTCGTGAACACAAGCACCGTTGGTGGGCTTGTCTCTTCTCCTAAACGCAAGCATCCTCATCGGGTTAGGATACTGCTGTTCATATAACATCAGATTAATCACTCCACAACAGTATTATTAAATGGGTCTGTCTAGGATAGTCATGTCACCAGCATAAAAATATATTATTAAATGGGTCTGTCTAGGATAGTCATGTCACAAGCATAAAAAATATAGAAAATAGTTACATATGATTTGTACAGTGGATGATATTGTTTTTGTGATCAAGAAGAAACAATACAACATCTATTCATAGATTACCTTCTCATAAATCTATTTTAGCGAACGATTCATATAGCCTTTAACATAATTCCTCCGATTATTATATAGCCTTTAACATAATTCCTTCGGTTAGCATTGAATTTTTATTTGGGACATGGTTAGCTGCAGTAGATCATATTATCGCGTCGCCTATTATCGCGTCGCCTATTTGAATTGAAATATGCACGCTTATTTAGGCTATATGAAACTGCATGAACAATATGATTTTTAACAGACAACACATTATTTTAAAGTTCTCGCAAGTCATTTTCAGAGTTACGACATGGATCGATACATGGTCCTTGCTCACTCTTATGAATTCTAGGAAGCATTTGATTACTGGGTGCAACCAATGAGAAATGATAGCACGGGCTATATTCAACTGATTTGGATGACGGTCTCATAATAAGATAAGAGTTTAGGGTTCTTGTCCTATTATATATACCGGTTGTGGTATTGAGTTGTGTATTTTTTCTTTTTTGCTTCGCTTGCGAGCTGTAATGAATTTAGGACTATATGCTTTTTGAGACTTTTAATAATATGACTGCATACATCGTTCAGATGTAAAAGCCGGGGACAAGCCTCTTTCTAGAAAAAACACACTACACGAATCTTCATAAAAAGAAAATAAAAAGGAAAAAATGTAGATACTTGCATAAATCTTCAAGATCAATGACATAACACTTAAATGTGCAATACATGAATCTCCAAGAACAATAACACATAAATATGTAATACACAAATCTCCAAGATCGAATGGCATAGGACTACTATAGTCGTTACCGAACTGGACCTAGATTTCTAGATGAGAATACGTAAAGCTTGCAAATAGGAAAAAAGTAAAAACAAAGAGTACAAAAAGGGTACAACACAAAACAACTAATTCTGCACTTGTCACTTTTGCCCAAAGATGCACACGCGTGCTCGTATTTTGTGCTGGTTTAATATCTCTGGCTTAGTATCTCGGAGGTGATAAACATACACAAAGCTCACATTTTTGCGCCGGTTATATCGAATGTGATAAGCATACACAAAGCTCACAAATACTTTCATGGATAAAACATCTAATTTTTTTTATGAATACACAAAGCTTGCAAATAAAAAATACAAGAAAGATACACCACAAAGAAATAGGATATTTTCACTAGATGATCACTATTATTTTGTGAATATGCAAAGCTTGCAAATAAAAAGTGTATAAGAAAGGCAACACAAAACACAAAAAGGCTCAAACAGGTCTGCTTCAAGGAGAGAGATATGGCATGCTCGGCCCGAACAAAGCAAAAGACAATTAAATCCTTTTAGCCCAGACTCTAGCCATGGAAGGCAAGGAGCCTCGAGAGTGCCTAGAGATCGGCAAACAGGCTGGAGGAGCCATGAAAGACAAGAGCATCGAGACCACCTAGAGATCAAGTAGGCTGCACATATGCAAGTAGGCTACATAACTTGCCATTGAGATTGCCTACAGACCAGAGACAAATGCCATGAGGAAAGTGTCGGTGAAGTCATACATGACGCCCTAGTTGTCCATGCCTTGAGAGGCAGCCTGAACCAACCTGACATCCAATATCCCTAGATCCATCATCGGAGACGACACATGCAAACAAGACAACACCCTCAAAAAAGAGAGTGATGTGTCGCCGTCATCTAATTTGAAGGGCCGGACCTAGGGTTTCTCCCTATGCTCGAAGAGGGGCGCAGATAAATGTCATGGCAACGCCTCTAAGAAGGGGATGACAGTCGCGAGTGTCACCACTACCAGCATCAGCAATCGAGTAAGGATTTATCTCTAATCTGAGTCTGAGCAATCTCATATACATCAAAAAAAGATCGGAAAAAGATCCAGAGACGAGGAAATCAAGTCGTTGTTCAGAACCGCCACCACAAGAAGGGGAGTTGCGCCTGTTGCCGCAAGGTTGCAGTAGCACCACCGGACATGCGTCTTGGACATGGCGGAGGACGAGACAAGGAGGTGGATGGGGTTGGGAGTGTTGGGGAACGTAGTAATTTCAAAAAAATTCCTACGCACACATAGGATCATGGTGATGCATAGCAACGAGAGAGGAGAGTGTTGTTGGGGAACGTTGCAGAAAACAAAAAATTTTCTACGGTTTCACCAAGATCCATCTATGAGTTCATCTAGCAACGAGTGATCGGATGCATCTACATACCTTTGTAGATCGCGAGCGGAAGCGTTCAAAGAACGGGATGAGGTAGTCGAACACGACGTGATCCAAATCACCTGAGATCCTAGCACCGAACGGACGGCACCTCCGCGTTCAACACACGTACGGTCAGCGTAACGTCTCCTTCTTCTTGATCCAGCAAGAGGGAAGGAGAGGTTGAGGGAGATGGCTCCAGCAGCAGCACGATGGCGTGGTGGTGATGGAGCTGCAGTACTCCGTCAGGGCTTCGCCAAGCGCTATGGAGGAGGAGGAGGTGTTGGAGAGGGAGAAGGAGGCAACCAAAGGCATGGGTGAAAAGGCCCTTCTTCCCCCACTATATATAGGAGGGCCAAGGGGGGGGGGCGCCGGCCTAGGAGATCCAATCTCCTAGGGGGCGGCGGCCAAGGGAGGTTTCCCTCCCCCCCAAGGCACCTAGGGGTGCCTTCCACTTGTGGGACTCTTCCCCTTTTGGAACCCTAGGCGCATGGGCCTCTTGGGGCTGGTGCCCTTGGCCCATGTAGGCCAAGGCGCAGCCCCTACAGCCCATGTGGCCCCCCGGGGCAGGTGGCCCCACCCGGTGGGCCCCCGGGACCCTTCCAGTGGTCCCGGTACAATACCGATGACCCCGAAACTTGTCCCGATGGCCGAAATAGCACTTCCTATATATAATTCTTTACCTCCGGACCATTCCGGAACTCCTCGTGACGTCCGGGATCTCATCCGGGACTCCGAACAACATTCGGGTTACTGCATATACATATCCCTACAACCCTAGCGTCACCGAACCTTAAGTGTGTAGACCCTACGGGTTCGGGAGACATGTAGACATGATCGAGATCGCTCTCCGGTCAATAACCAACAGCGGGATCTGGATACCCATGTTGGCTCCCACATGCTCCTCGATGATCTCATCGGATGAACCACGATGTCGAGGATTCAAGCAACCCCGTATACAATTCCCTTTGTCAATCGGTATGTTACTTGCCCGAGATTCGATCGTCGGTATCCCAATACCTCGTTCAATCTCGTTACCGGCAAGTCACTTTACTCGTACCGTAATGCATGATCCCGTGACCAGACACTTGGTCACTTTGAGCTCATTATGATGATGCATTACCGAGTGGGCCCAGTGATACCTCTCCGTCATACGGAGTGACAAATCCCAGTCTTGATCCGTGTCAACCCAACATATACTTTCAGAGATACCCGTACTCTACCTTTATAGTCACCCAGTTACGTTGTGACGTTTGGCACACCCAAAGCACTCCTACGGTATCCGGGAGTTACACGATCTCATGGTCTAAGGAAAAGATACTTGACATTGGAAAACTCTAGCAAACGAACTATATGATCTTATGCTATGTTTAGGATTGGGTCTTGTCCATCACATCATTCTCCTAATGATGTGATCTCGTTATCAATGACATCCAATGTCCATAGTCAGGAAACCATGACTATCTGTTGATCAACGAGCTAGTCAAGTAGAGGCTTACTAGGGACATGTTGGTGTCTATTATTCACACATGTATTACGATTTCCATATAACACAATTATAGCATGAATAAAGACAATTATCATGAACAAGGAAATATAATAATAATGCCTTTATTATTGCCTCTAGGGCATATTTCCAACAGTCTCCCACTTGCACTAGAGTCAATAATCTAGTTACATTGTGATGAATCGAACACCCATGGAATTCTGGTGTTGATCATGTTTTGCTCTAGGGAGAGGTTTAGTCAACGGATCTGCTATATTCAGGTCCGTATGTACTTTACAAATCTCTATGTCTCCATCTTGAACATTTTCACGAATGGAGTTGAAGCGACGCTTGATGTGCCTTGTCTTCTTGTGAAACCTGGGCTCCTTGGCAAGAGCAATAGCACCAGTGTTGTCACAGAAAAGCTTGATCGGCCCCGACGCATTGGGTATGACTCCTAGGTCGGTGATGAACTCCTTCACCCATATTGCTTCATGTGCTGCCTCCGAGGCTGCCATGTACTCCGCTTC